GTACAGTGACTCTGTGTATTCCTTCTATCTTCCCTTGATGCTTTCTGTATCATTCAATAATTTGCCCAGAGAATCTTTCAATAACAAAAGTCGAGGCTTGAATTTTTCTTCAGTTCCCCCAGCTTGAGAAATGCCGACTCATAGTGACCATGAATAGGTTCTCCAAGGAGCAGATGGTGGGTTTGAATCATCGACCTTGCATTTAGCGGTCCATTGCTAATCCTACAGAGCCACACCAGGACCCCATGGTGGTCATAATCAAAATGGGCTGTATATATTCATCTTGTATCATCTGCCCTCATTTCACAACGTTCTTAAGATTGTTTTTAAGTGTGATCAAATCAGTACTCACTGATACCCTGTATAGGGGTTCTAAGGAGGGGCTGGTGGGTTTGAACTGCTGACTTTGTATTTAGTAGCCCAATGCTTATCCTACAGTGCCACACCAGGACTCCTTGGTGATCATAATTAAAAGGGGAAGTATTTATTAATTTTCTATTATTTGCCTTCATTTCACAATGTTCTTAAGATTGTTGTTAAGTGCTATTGAGTCAATTCTGACTTATAGCGACCCTGTATAAGGTTTCTGAAGAGCAGCTGGTAGGTTTGAACCACTGACCTTGTAGTTAGTAGGCCAGTACATATCCTACTGGGCCACATTAGAACTTCACATTTAAGATTTGTTGTTGTTGTTAAGTGCCATTGTGTGTCAGTTCCAACTCATAGCAACCCTGTATAGGGTTTCTGAAGAACCTTGTGATTCAAACAGACCTTGAAGTGGCATGCTTATCCTACTGCACCACACCAGGACTCCACTTTTAAGATTAGAACCCCTGGTATGAAATAGGGCTTAGTATCAAGAGCTAGTTCTCATATGGTTCAGTGGAAGAAGGGAATAAGGACAGAAGAAAAAAAATATTAGAGGACTAGACTTCTCTTTTCAATAACTGATTCTTTTAAGAGAAGCAAAAGCTATGATTAAAGTGGTAATATAATTGCTGAATTTTTGTGCCTCTAGCACCTGCAAAGAAAGCACGGTGACAAGAAACACTCGGCAACCCAATATTTCATGCAGGCTTCATCCACCCAGCAAGCCATCTTCAAAATAGAATGCAACTTTTTCTCCTTCACCAATCTGTTAAGCGCCTGGGACAAAGTGACCACAAACCTAAATAACACTATTTATCATTCTCAACAAAGAACTGAAATTAAGTAAGATTCAGGGAATTTAATATATAACTTCCAAGCTTCATTTCATTCACATTCCAATCCTATTTCATCACGTGCAGCTAAAAGGGAGCAAGATTTGTCATCCAGGGATCAGGAACATCCAGTTCTTTTCCCGGAAAGGAAAGGACAGATTTGATAACTGGTCTTTCCAGCTTTGAAGAATATTTTAAGTGTTTTTAAATAATGACGAAATGAAACGAATTCAAGATCCTTACGTTTTAGGAATTTGCTGAGGTTAGAATGTATAGACTGAAAATAAGAAAATACTTAGAAGGAAATTTTCCTCAGGAGGTTAAAAATGTAAACAATATTTTAAAAACAGCAATTAGTCCACTCACTTCATTCATAAATATTTTAAACCACAGACATTTAAAGTAGTATATAATCGACTGAAATAGTAAAATTGTTATATTTTTACATATTGGTGTGTCAGGAGTAAGCATTGCCATAGGGTCATTATGGAAAATGCAATCCTTCCCATCAAGAACAGCCATGGACAAAACATTCAATCTGAAATGAATTACCAAATCACATGTACAAAATAGCATATCAAAATGCATATGCATTTATGTGGGCTCTCAGACTGGGGAGAGATGAGTATGGAAGTAGGATGGGCCTGGGAAAGTTTCTAGGGAATGACCTTGACCATAATGCTCAAAGACAGGAAGAGTACAAATCAGAGGAAAAGAAAATGTGGGTTGTGCAAGCAATGGAATCAGTTTGAGCCAAAGGAATGGGAAAGATTCTAATAAATTACATTAGGAGAAGGGCTGGGTCAAATGAGTGAAAATTAAAGGTACCATTATCAAGTGCTTACAAGAAGCCAGGCACTATGCTAAATATGCCAGATATTTCTTTCCCTCATCCTTTTTTTTTTCCTAATTTAATTTTCATAATACTGAGCCCCATGGTGTAGACTCAGATCTCTTGTGTTTGTTAGCCACACTCACCTCCTAGTTGGTCTCAGACAGTCTCATGGCTTTAATGCAAATCAATACCTTCAGCCTGGACCTTTTCTCCAAACTCCAGATTCATACACCCACTTCCTAGTTGACATTTCTACTTACACATCTAAAACCAAACTCCTGATGTCCATCCACCCTCCAAAAGACAAAACAGAGACCTACTCCTTCCTTGTTGTTATGTGTCGTGGAGTCAGTTCTGAATCACAGTGACCCTATACAGGGTTTCCAAGGCTGTAAATCTTTACAGGAGCAGAAAGCCTCATCTTTCTCCCACGGAACAGCTGGTAGTTTCGTACTGCTGACCTTGATATTAGCAGCCCAATTCATAACCACTATGCTACCAGAGCTCCTTCCTTATTTACCTTAAAATATATCCAGAATTCAATGACTTCTTACCACCCTATCTAAGATGCCCCCATCTCTAGCCTAGATCATTACCAAAACAAATCCTTTGCCATCAAGTCAACTCAGACAACTGGCATCCTTATAGGGTTTTCTTGGTTGTAATTTTCAATCACCTCATAGGCATGAAAAAGCCAGACAATGAATAAGGAGACTGAAGAAGAATTGATGCGTCTGAATTGTGGGGATGACAAGCGATATTCAGCATACCACACACTGCCAGAAGACGTACAGCTAGAATTTCTTTAGATGTAAGGATGGCAAAGACTTTGTCTCGTATTCTTTGGACATGTCGGGAAGGAACAGTCCCTGGAGAAGGACGTCATGCTTGGTAGAGAGGGTCAGTGAAAAAGAGGGAGGCTCTGAATGAGCTGGAGTGACACAGTGGCGGCAACAATGGATTCAAACACAGGAAGGCTATGAGCTGGCTGGACCAGGCAGTGTTTCGTTCTGTTGTATGCAGGGTCGTTATGAGTGGAAACCCATTCATCTAATAACACCTAAAATAATAACAATCTTTACAGAAGCAGACCACGAGGCTCCCCCCTCCCTCAACTGGAGGGGCTAGAACCTCCGAGCTTTAGATTAATAGTTGAGTACAAACCATTTGAACTAGATAGGGACCTTTAGATAACCACAGAAGCCTCCTAATAATGGGTGTTGATGTGAGCTTTCCCTCCAAGGACCTTGTGAGTCTATGCGTTCTCAAAATTTTCATTTATGGGTTAGGCTCTACTTCTCAATACTAGTGTCTAAAGTAGAGAGAAAGACTACAAAAGTGATTCTTGGATAGATGACTGCACAATCATGGAGGCTGAGAGTTAATGTGGAAGAGAAAGTGCAGGGTGGAGTTGGGCGCATTTGAGAAATGGGACGGGACATTTGAGGACATCCACAGAAAGAGAAAATTATCTAGACACTTAAGAAGCATGCAGTCCTAGATCAACTATCCCTCCTCTGCCAGGTTTACTTGACTCCTTAGTAGTCAAGATCTCAATTACAGCATTGGTCACACTATGGGATGCGTGTGCTGCGTGTCTTCCCAATAGACTATGAACTCATTTTGTGTCTCCAGAATCAAATGCAGCATCTTGGTACCTGGTAAGTCCTGGGCAAATGTGTTGAGTGCATAACATTGTAAGCAGGCAGAAGGAAGGGGGTTTTTTTCTGGAAGAGCAAATGAAGACTTTACACAGAAGCGAGGCTTCAGAGAGAGAGAGTAATATCTAAGCTTATCCAGGACACCACTGATGACCTAGAAAGGGATAAACAGCCATGGGTGGAAAGACAGAGCAAGGTTTGAAAAAGAAATAAAAGGAAGAAAAACAGTGAAGACATGGTGAGACACTGAAAAGTAGGTTAGGACTGGGAAGATAAAGAAACCAGAAAAGTTAAGGGAGGAGTTTTTTCCCCAAGAGGTAGGATGTGGGAGTTTGAAAGAAAAGAAAAGCTAGGAAACAAGTAGATTTGGTTGGAATTGGAAGCAGAATTCAATAGGCATAAAGACTTAAAGCTACAGTTCTTAATATTTTTATTCCCAAATACCATATAAATTACTGAGCTCCAAAGGAGGGTAGCAGGTGGAAGGCTTAAAATCCAAAGGTTAACATTGAACTACTCAGTGAGGTGTTAGCCAAGAAGTTAATGAGGTAGGAAGAGCTACACAGTCGACTGTTATAAGACAGAGTTGTTATTGCTTCGGTCCTTAAGGATACAATGAACTTCCCATTAAACGGTGCCGGGGTTGGATCGACTTCTCACTATGGGATGGAATTCAAACGAAACCCTGCCTGAGGGTGGATCATCATCACTGTGATAAAGACAGTGGAAAACATGTTCACATACCAAAAAAACTAAGAGAAGCACACCACATATACAGCAACCATAACTTTCTTTCTCCTGCCTATCCCTCAAAAGGAAGGTGTTCTGAGAGCAAGACTTTTCCATCCTTCTCTGCTAGATGACTAGAGCGTCTCAGCAATGCTGTTGTGATGGGCCATGGAGTCGGTTCCAACTCAAACTGACCCTGTACAGGGTTTCTGAGTCTGTAAATCTTTACGGGAGCAGAAAGCCTCATCTTTCTCCCGCAGAACAGCTGGTAGTTTTGAACTGCTGATCGTGAGATTAGCAGGCCAATTCATAACCACTACGCTACCAGAGAGAGCTCCTTACTTGCTGAATATTGAATGAACTCGGTTCAGTCCCGTGTTGATACTATACATCTGAGCATTGAAGGATGTGTGACCTGTATAAGCACTTCAGAGAGCGCAGAGAGAGTCAGAGTAGAAGCTGTGATGTTTGAAAGTGCCAGTGGAGCGGCCTGCAGAGCCCTGAGAGGAGGGCTGCAGCGTGGATGGAGAGGGTCCGGGTCTCAGGTCCCAGACTTCACCCTTTGTAACTAACCTTCCGGCGGGGGAGTCCGCGTGGGGCGCAGCAGCCCGGCTCCGGTGTCCCGCGCCCGCCGCCCCCCGGAGGCGCTCGGCGCCCGCTGCGCACATAGGTCACTTGCCTCCTGCTGGCGCCGCGCTGTGGACCCGGCGTGGGCGGCAGGTGCAGCCCAGGAGACCCGGGGGCCTGGCCCGGCAGGGCACTGCCGATTGGGGGCCCGGGCCCTGCGCACCTCAGCTCGGCGCAAAGCCGTAGGCCAAGCAGCAGTGCGGCGCCGAGCAGACACAGGCGCAGGTCGCCGCAGCCCCTCCCGGGAGGCCTCTCCCGAGCCATGGAGAGGCCGGGTTGGCGACCACGCTCACAGCCCCGCGCTCGGCGCCCCACCGGCAGCTGGGATCCGGTCCCGCGGGCCTGAGCTACAAACTGGAAACTCCCTGGAGGGCCGCGGCGCGGGCTCAGACCCGCCTCCCTTCCTCCAGTCCGAGGAAGCATCCGCGTAACCTTATCCTACCCAGCTGAGCAGGAAGGGGCGAGGGGCGGCGGGCAGGGCGGGACCCCGGGCTTCGGCACCCACCCCCATCCCCGGAGTGCACGCAGCTTCGCTGAGCAGGAACCCAAGCCCCAACTCGCGGGTCTCAGAGGAGAACCCTCCACTCAGGTCTCCAGAGCCGGTCAGACGAAAACTACAAGGCCAGAAAAAGAGCATTCCTAGTGGAATCCTGAGCTCTAACTTCATTTTCCGGTGTTAATATTGTTGAAGAAACACAAGAGGAGAGGTGAGCTGCCAGCTTTTGCTACAAGGAACAAACTGACTGTCAAACAGTTTGTGTCATTAAGCACAACATAAAAATAAATCGCATTTAGCTCAGGTTTACAACTTTGGTCCCTCAAGAAAGATGTGAGGGAGGCAGGAAAATAACGCTCAATGCAGAATAATCAAATTAGAGTTATTCCCATTTCTCAATTCTGCCTAAAGCCAAGCCATACTTTCTCTCCGTGTTATGAAATGTGTGGGGGTGAAGGAGAGGAAAAAGCCGCTTAGACATCCGACAGCAGGAGAGAGAACAGAAGCTACCCTGGTATGATGTAAATGAAATTAATTTAACTCCAAACACACACCTCCCTGCTGTCTTACAGAGATACACGGGGACAAATTTATCTTTTGGCAAAATGCTCTCCTGCTCGCTGGTATTTCCATCACCACCTTGACCTTAATTAATCAAAACGCTCAGAACCTGAAGTCCAGTGTTGGCTGTTCAGTTTTCAATTGTAAGAATTATTTCCCAAAATCGATTGGAAGCTTAGGTTTGAATTTGTTTTCTTTAGCTTTTTTTCAGGCTTTATGCCTGCATTTTATCTACTTTCACGTGAAACTGCCTCTACTGACCCTCCCTCTCTTTCCCACAACAGGGACCAAATATGGAGACACCCCCCACCCCCTTGAATTTCAGGAATTTTCCACAGGGAGTCTTCCTCTCTAAAAATCCTCTTTTTTTTTTTTTTCCTGGTGTAAGAAAACTGCAGTTTATTCTTTGTCACCGTACAAAGCCATAGAGCTATTTGCTACATGTAAGAAAATTCCCCAATCCATTTTTCTAATCATTCCCTAAATGTTTGGATTGAGATTGACTTTTTTGTTTATTTTGTTATTTTTTTAGATGTAGCCTTTAGAGCTTTGCAGATCGGCTCTGTTGTAAATAAACCAGGCAAATATTTCCTCCTCACACAAACTGTAAGAGAAAGCCTCTAGACATGAACTTATTGTATGTGTACTGTGCTTGATTCAGGACCCTGCCACTCAGGAGCTGTGAGACTTTTTTCTTAATTTCTCTCTCAGATTTCTCATACGTCAGTGGATCTAGTTATTCCACGGGATTACACAAATTGCATAAGATATTATATATGCTTGTTGTTAAGTGCCATTAAGTCGATTACAGACCACAGTGACCATAGAGTTTCAGAGAAGCAGCTTGTGAACTTGAACCGCCAATGTTGCAGTTCAAACTAACTTTACAGTCCAGCACTTTAACCCACAGTGCCCACCAGGTACTGTATATATATATTATACAGTATATATATAATACCTGGCTCACAGAAGGTATTCACTTACTAGTGATTATTTTTATTGTTTAACATTAAGTAAAATCCTGTACAAGTATAAAAAACAAAAAATAAATATTGATTCCCAGGTGGATTAGCATAAAGCATAAAAAATGTATAAATATTTTATACAGTAGTCTCTGTGGAATTAGTTGTTATTAGCTGCTGTCAAGTCTCATAGCAACCCTGTGCAAAACAGAATGAAACAATAGGTACATTGCCATCCTCACAATTGTTACACTTGAAACCATTGCTGCTGCCACTGTGCCAATCCATCTTGCTGGGAGTTACCTACTTTTCTCTGACCTTCCACTTAACTAAGCACGATGTCCTTCTCCAAGGACTGGTCCCTCCTGATAGCATGTTCTGAGTATGAGAGATGAAGTCTTGCTATCCTAACTTCTAAGGCGCATTCTGACTGCACTTCTTCCAACACAAATGTGTCTGGCAGTCCATGGTACTTTTAATTTTCTCCTCCAACACCATAACTCAAATGCATCAATTCGTCTATGGTCTTCCTTATTCAGTGTCTAACTTTCACATGCATGTGAGGTTATTGAGAATACCATGGCTTATGTCATGCCCACCTTAGCCCTCAACTGTTATCTTTGCTCTTCTTAAATATGTTCAAGAGGCCTTGTGCAGTATATTTGCCTAAAACAATACTTCTTGATTTCTTGACTATTGCTTCCATGAGTGTTGACTGTGGATCCAAGCGAAATGAAGTCTGACAACTTCGATCTTTCTTCCATTGATCGTGATGTTATTTATTGGTCCAGTTGTGAGGAGTTTTGTTTTCTTTACATTGTGGTGCAACCCATACTAAAGGCTGTGATCTTTGATTTTCATCAGTAAGTATTTTAAGTCCTGTTCTCTTCCAGCAAGCAATAAAGTATCATCTGCATATTAAAGGTTGTCAATGAGTCTTCCTCCAGTCCTGATGCCACATTCTTGTTCAAATAATCCAGATTGTGGATTATTCCACATTCTGATTCACACCTTTCTGGATTTTTAACCATTCAGTACTCCCTTGTTCTGTTTGAATGTCTGCCTCTTGCTCTATGTGCAGGTTCCTCATGAGCACAATTAAGTGTTCTAAAATACCCATTCTTCTCAATGCTCTATAGCCTTTGTGTAATCAATAAAGCACAAGTAACCATCTTTCTGGTATTCTCTGCTTTCAGACAAGATCCATCTGACATCAGGAATGATAGCCCTCATCCATATCCGATTCCGAATCTGGCTTGAATTTCTAGAAGTTCCCTGCTAATATACTGTTGCAGTTGTTATTGAATTATCTTCAACAAAATTTTACTTGCATGTAATTTAAGGATACTGTTTGATTATTTTTGCATTTCGTTGGGTCACCTCCCTTTATTATGGGCACAAATATGGATTCTTCTAATCGTTCGACAAGGTAGTTGTCTTCCAAATTTCTTGGCACAGATGAGTGAGTGCCTCCAATGCTGCATTGCTTTGTTGAAAGATTTCAGTCTGTATTCCATCAATTCCTGGAGCCTTGCCTTGGCCTTCTTCCTTCAGTACCATCAGTTCTTGATCATATGCTTCCTCTTGACATGGTTGAAAACTGCACCATTTCTTTTTTGGTACGGTGATTGTGTATCCCTTTTATCTTCTTTTAAAGCTTTCTGCATCATTCAGAATCCTGTCTATATTGTAGTTATGTGCTGTTTAGTCAGTTTTGACTCATAGCAATCCTGTAGAAGGTTTCTAAGGTGCAGCTGGAAAGTGAACCACCAACCTTGTGGGTAGCAAACAGTCCAGGGCTTTTCCTACAGTGCCACACCAGGACTCCATTCTGTCCATAGAAGCCTTCAATATAGCAAGTTAAGGTTTGACATTTTTCTTTAGCTTGAGAAATGCTGAGCATGTTCTTCCCTTTTCTTTTCAAGCTACCCTTTGAAATTTTCTGTTCAGCACTTTTACTTCCTCATTTCTTCCATTTGCTTTAGCATATCTACACTAGACAGCAAGTTTCAGAGTCTCTTCTAAGATCTATTTTGGCCTTTTCTTTCTTCTTTTAATGACCTTTTGTTTTCTTTCTGTATGAAGTTCTTGATTTCATCTCACCACTCTTCTGGTCTTCTGTCATTAGTGTCGAATGTGTCAAATCTGTTCTTCAGATGGTATCTAAAATTCAGGTGAGAAGTGGTTAAGGTCATATTTTGACTCTCTTGGATTTGTTTTCATTTTCTTCAGCTTCAATCTGAACTTGCATATGAGCAACTAATAGTTCGTTCCACATTCGGCCCCTTGCCTTGTTTTGGCTGACCATGTTGAGCTTTCCCGCCATCGTTTCCCACGGATGTACTCAATTTGATTCCTGTGTATTCCATCTGATGAGGTCCAAGTGTATAATTGCCTTTTAAGTTGTTTTAAAAAAAGGTTTTTATAATGAATAAGTCATTGGTGTTACAAAATTCTATCATGCAATTTCCAGCATTGTTTTTATCACCAAGGCCATATTTTCCAACTTCTGATCCTTCCTCTTTGTTTCCAACCCTTGCATCCCAACCACCAGTAATTATCACTATATCTTGATAACATGTTGGATTAATTCCAGACTGAAGAAGTTAGTAGAATTCTTCAATTTCATCATTACTTCCTTTAGTGGTTGGTGCATAAATTTGAATAATAGTGGTATTAACTGGTCTTCATCGTAGGTGAATGCATATTATCCTATCACAGATAGCACTGTACTTCAAAATAGATCTTTTTCAACATGAAACTTGACTCCATTCCTCTTGAATTTGTTGTTCCTGGCATAGTAAACCATATGATTGTCACATTCATATTGGTCAATACCAATCCATTTCAACTCACTGATGCCTAGGATATCAATCTTTATGTCATCCATTTAATTATTGACAACTTCTAATTTTCCTAGATTCATATCCATGCAGTCTATGTTCTCATTATCAATGGATGTTTACAGCTATTTCTCCTCATTTTGCACTGTGCCCCATCATCAAATGGAGGTCCTCAGAGCTTTACTCCATTCAGATCATCACAGTCAACTCTACTTTGAGGCATCAGTTCTTCCCCAGTCATATTTTGAGTGCCTTCCAACCTGAGGGACCCATCTTCCAGCACCATATCTGATCATGGTCTGCTGCTATTCATAATGTTTTCATCTTCCAGTATTATATTTAAAAAGGTTCCACTGCTATTCATAAGGTTTCCATGGCTAAACATTCAAAAGCCTTGTGGCT